ATAAAATCAATAAAAAAACTGGAAAGAAAAGTCTGGAAAAGGGATGATCCCTCGGAAGCACAAATTACATCAAAATAATATGAAAATTGCAGACCCAGTTTCATTGTGTCCGTAAAATTTGAAACCATTCATTTTTGGAAAAATATATAATGAATTCGTGATCAAAAATAAATCATAAAATAGAAATATATATTAAATACTGAGTATTTACATAATTAACATATGAATTTAAAATATCAGCATGTTCTTTAAATTATTGTTTTATTTCACTTACTTGGTCTGAAATTAAAACAGTTAGTTATGAGTTCGCGTAGTATAAATAACTGGTCGGGTTAGCTCATAAATCTGAGATCTTCGTGTTAGGTAGCCAACATTCTAAAAATTGGTAAGTAATTAACTATGAGAACACAGAAACTGTTACTAAACATTCATTAAAAATCTATTTCATACCTGTTCTAGAAGTTATTCATGTCAAATTTGACAGACTGTTAACACTCTTTCTATTATGTTTTAACATAGCATCTTTTTCATTGAATTATTTCTATTTATCTTATTTTGTTGGAAGCTGTTTAAGTAATTACATTTTTAGCCACGTTATGATGAATGTTTCTCTTTCAGTTTTTGACAATGTTCAGTAACATAGTTTAGTTATCTACCATTTCATAATTATCTATATTACGATTTTCTGTTACCGGTGAATTATTACGTAAATTCCATGACGTCAAACAACACATCATTATCATAAAAAAAAGTTTGTATACATTGATAACTAAGGGCGTCTACGAAGATTGGCGGCGATGTCTAAACGCCGTATTTCCGACATAGATAATAATGATGTTAATACTTGTATTATATAACACAAATGAGATAAATTATTTTTATTATTCTTATCTACACTAACATATACACGTTAAGTACTAAAAATTTTACAATAACGTATAAACGTAATATATGTTAAAATCGTTTAACAATAGTAAAAATGACATAAACACGCGAAAACAAAAGCTAAAGTTATTCAAGATAAGTGTCATTTCAAAACAGTTAATCTTTTGTAAAAATATTTATCATTGGTGATCTCAATAATATGTTTATAATAAGCCATCTTTTGAAGGTCCTTGTGCTTGTTTTGCAAACGCCCCTTTGTTGTATGCTCCGATGTGGACTTCATCCGCATTCACTTCTTTTTCAGTTTTTAAAAAGAATATTGCTAAGCCTTTGTCATCATTATATCTTTGAAAGAAAGAGTTATATCCCAGTTTTCTAATCGGCATGTTTAGGTGACATCTATAAATATTTTCATGTATAAAATTAAAACTGATATTTTTTATAACATGTTGTTTAGCTTTTATCTTGATGTCCTCTAGTTCACGCTCTGCAAACAATGCCTGTATATCTTCTGATAAACCTTCAACATTGAAGTGTAGCGTATCTGTTGTTTCCCTCGTACATACAACATAATTTTTGTTAACTTCATGTTTCGCCAAATCCTTTTTCAGAACAGCACTGGATATTGCACGTCCACCATTTACCTTTAAAATCAAAACATCATTGTCTAAGTCATTATCATTAACATAATACTGTAATTGTAAATTATGTTTTAAGTTTTTTTCTTTCTTGTAGAAATTGTCAACATCTGCCGATTTTTATATATAGGGCGGTCACCTAGATTAGATTATGACGCCTTATTAGGGTAAAGAAAACAATAGATCAATTCCAAAACAATAGTTTATGCGGGAATGGCATTCTGTTCACCAAAAGAAAAAAAGCTCATTTTGGTAAAAATCTCATGCATTGCTTCGGATGTATGAAACGACTCATTATCCTTTTTACAAGTCTAATGGCTTCTTTAATTAAAATGATCCAAACTTCTTGAATGTTTTGAGCTGATAGGAAATGACCATAACAACTCGTTCCTTACAGAAAATAAATTTGTATTCGATGCGTTTAAATCATTTTTTTAAATACTATAATAGTTAAAGATAAATATTTAAAATATAGCATAAAAATTGACTTACTTCTACAAATGCTCTAGGCAAAGTTCCATAATTTTTGCAGACACATGAAAACGTCCGTAATTTATTGAGTTGTAATTTGAATACGTTGTTCATTATTGCAGGTCTGATTTCTCTTTGGCAGTAAGCTTGCCGTTATATTGGATTTTTACTGTAACGATACAAAATGCAGAATATTGGTTAACAGAAAAAGTTAAGCACTCAGAATATTTCTTGTTTCGTGGAGGGGAGATATAATCGATTTATATTTCACGAACAAATTGAATAAGTTCGTACCAATTTATATCATGATAAATACTTGTGCTGGCAACATTCTGATAAAAAGAAGAAAAAAGACCGTACAAAGACTGAACGCATTTAAAGATACGTATATGCGTAACTTGACATCCTATCAGAATGTTCATAACTTGTCGGGGAATTTCCGTAGTTTGTATATAAGGCGATTTGGCAACAGTTACTTACGATAAATGTTACTGAGCAGTCTTTTAATCAGTGTTCATGCTTGTATAATAATATTAACTTACATTTCAGCTTGTTAGACCTCAAGGCTGCCAACTTCACAAACATACATTGATTAAAACAGAAGTAGTATATGACATTGTCAAAGATCACAAACATTCATTGTTTTTTATCTCACTACCTGTATATTTATGACCAATGCAGAATTTTGTATACGGCAATTGAGTTTTAACAGATCATTACATAAAATTTGATGCTATAATTCATTAAAAAAATAGTCATTTATAAAACAAATAACAGATGAAGCAAGCATAAGATGGGAAAAAAACATCAATGGCAAAAATGGTAACAATATAAAAAGCGGTGATACCCCACCCACACAAAGCATGTATAGTCCAGTTAATCAAGGCGGATAACAAATATAAGTATGGTAAGTAATACTGGGCCTATTGAGACCACTAAAAATGTCCAAGTAAACTATAATGCAGAACAATCGCCAGCTTTACAGCAACTTTATTATGCTGAACAATTACTACACCCTTCCCACCAACAACTTTACCCAGTACAAGCGAAGAAAACATGACTGAAACAATACCCAACACAGTTCAGAATGGAAACACAAGTATAATATCAGGGCAGGTATATGATTTGAACAATACAAACATGTGTAGCGGATATTTGAATATAAATACCCTATACCAACAGTCATACCCAAGTGTACCATACCAAATGTCCCCTGGTATGCAAGCACTACCACTTAATCAGCAAGACCCAAATGAAATCCCCCTTGGGTCAATATACTTCAAGGAATTGAGATGAGACTGAGTGGAATAGACAGACAATTGGAACACCAAGATGTCCATTGGCAAACCCCAAAAACTTTGATAAAAACACAAAACTCAAGAATAACCTCTACTGGACAACAGGTGCAAGATATAAAGTGAAAAATGCAGTGAATAAAACTGAACATAATGTAAAAATGCTTGATGAAAAAGTGCAATGTCAAACAAAACAAATACACGAATACAAGAATAGCATTGAAGTGATTATTGACCTTTATAAAAATATAAATTTTGACCAAAATGATACTGAAAGTAAAATAGATCATCTTCAGGGTCTAATGAAAAAATGGAAGTAACCATGAATGAAATAAAAGAAAATCAGCAAGACCAACATGAAACAATATACGATCATCAATGCAGAAGGATGCAAGACAACTTAATTGTCTAATGGTATAGACGAACAAGGGGAATATGAAAACACTGAAGAATATCTGAACTTTAATAAACAAAATGAAAATAGACAAAAGTATCCCATTTCAAAGGGTACATAGACTTGGCAAGAGGAGAAGGGATCAAATTAAACCAAGGCAAATCATTGCCAAATTTAGAGATAACGATAGAGAGTTGATAAAGTATACAGTCTTAGAAGTTTTAAAAGGTTCTGAATTTGGTGCAAGAAAACATTTCCCAAGAGAAATTGAAAACCGCAGAAAATTATTATACTCAAAACTGAAAGAGGCAAAATAAACTGGACAGAGAGTTAAATAAGTAAGAGATAAAATTTTTATTGACAATGAAAGATCTTTTCCAGATTACAATTAATTCCCCAAAACAGACAAAAGAACTAACAGAGGATATGATAATGGTAAACCCCACCAGTCAAAAGATACACAAGACATAAACAGGACACAGGTGTACTACAGAACAGATACAAACAGAAATACTGCTAGTTCAACTGGTGTACAAACTCCCACAACAAACATATTTCAAGTCCTTATAGACATAGAAGATGAACATGAACCATCCCTTAGCAGTAAAAGCAAAAGAACGGCTAAATCACAAGTTGATACACATTTAGAGACAAAAAATATAGGGAATGCTCACCAACCACAATAAGTTCTGAATGAACATCGCTTCCCTTCTATCTCCCCGTCGAGAAGGGGAAACCCATCAGTCGGAGCTCTACGGGCGAACGGCGAGTCGGATCGGACCGTGCCGGGTCCCCCCTACCTCGCGAATACCGGTGATAATTGCCAAAAGGATCTCATTTCGTCCAGGGCGGGAGGTTTTTCGTATGCCGAGCGAGAACGGAGAGGGCCAGCTCGGTGATCGAGCACACGCTGGAAAGGTCTCGGCGAGTCGGATCGGACCACAACACCCCCACCTCGCGAATACCGTGACAATTGGCAAAAAAGCGCATTTTTGACCAGAGCGTCCCGGAAGGGCGGCCGTCGCCAGCTAGGCAGTCGAACGGGTCGAACGCGCCCTCGATCACCCGGCTGCGACTTTCCTTTGCCTCGTACATCGATCTTTTTGTTTAGGTAAGACTGGTCACGAATGTCATGAAACACCTCGAGCGCTACGAGCTCTCTGTGTCACGTGAAATTCTTGCTAGGTCTTTCCTAAACAGAAAGATCTCGTACTCGTCGATATCCTATAGGTAATGATATCAGCGGTTGTAAAAGATATAATTTTGTATTGAGTATCGAAATTGATTTTCCACACGTGTAATTAGATAAAATTTGTGTCGAGTGTGCAAAAGACTTTGCATGCCTTGTGTTTATATAGAGAGGTATATGTATAGGATATCGACCGAGTACGAGGTCTTTCTGTTTAGGAAAGACCTGGTCACGAATTTCATGTGACACCGAGAGCGCGTAGCGCTCGAGGTGTTTCATGAAATTCGTGACCAGGTCTTTCCTAAACAGAAAGATCGATGTACGAGGCCGATATCCAACTTACACACCGTAAAACTATACTGGCTTGCGCTATGGCTGATCTGAAGCATTTGATGCAATGCACAAATATTATTTTTTAACACAACGCATATAGGGGTAAGCTTTTATCAACGTTCTTCTTAAATACAATATATATTTTTGCTTTTTCCCTTTAAAATAATAATCAAAAAGCTAAATCAGCAGTTTGTCAAAAATAAAGTGAATAGGTCTGTAATGGAAGGTATGCTAAAGTATGAATAATTATGTTGATAGTATTTAGTATCAGACATTGCAAATTCTAGGACATTTAAATCCGGACAGGTGTCCCCTCGGACGTTTGCTCCCACTTTTTTTGCTGTTGCGACTTGTCACTTGCCAGAGGTCATGTACATGTATATATTTTTATGTATGTCAATGTAAACATTATAGTTCATTTATTTATGGATGCTATTTTGAATTTCACAAATTTGCGCGTGAGTTTTTGTGTATTTAAAGCAACACGCCTCCAGATTCATTTTAATTTTCATGAAAATTTTGGAAATGTATTTAAAAGTAAAATATTGTAAGGTAAACAAATATAATAATTGACATATTACAATTAGCACTTACAATCCAAGAAAATTACCAAAAAGTGTCAACATATGCAAAAGTAGCCCGTACTGCGTTACTAACGCAGAAGAAATATTGTAATAAAATACTGCAAAATCAGTCTTTAACCACATATTACATGAAAAATATAACTTGGGCCTTGAATGTTTTTACCTTCCTTAAAATTTCTCAATATTGATTTTCTTGATGCAGCTTTAAGCACAATGAAATATCGACAATAGGCGATGAATGTTAGTAGAAAACAATTGAATATTTTACTATTTTTAAAACAGGGAGGGGGGCAACTGTCCGCCTCTTCCAAAGATATGAGGGGGGGGGCATATGACTTCCACTGCATAAGGGGGCAAACTTCTGAGAGGGCAACTGTCCGAAGGGCAATGTCCGGATATCTAGCAGACCACGAATGACTTACATATGTATATTGTTGGCAAGTGTATGATACATGAACCGAAATTATATTTTATGTAGCAGATTATGAAGTGTTCTAGAATAAAATATGATCGTTCATCATAAATTTTTCATACTAAATCACTTATAATATTCATTTTTTTTTTCAAGAATTTTTTAATGATATACGAATAATACATTTCTATCGTTTCTATCGATATTTGAAATACTAATGGAAGATGTGCCTCCACGTTAAGTATACTTGTATATGCATGTCACTATAAGCAAGATTTGGATTCTGTCAATATAAAATTCCTTTAACGTTGTTGTGTATCATTCTTTGAAACAAGTCCTGGCTTCGAAGGTTTTCAGTGTAAATCAGTTTTGATTTTCTCCGGTTTAATAAAAAAATATGATAAAAGAGAGGGGGCGTGGGATTTAACAATCTGATTGATCCCGCGGGTGGGAATACTACCAGGGTGGGTAGCTGCGGTTTCAAATGCGAAGCGTACATGAAATGGTGAAAAGTTGTGAATCGGACATACGTTTGGTATTTTTTTTTTCGGTATGAATTTTAGGTACAAATTTTATGTATTGTGAATTTTCTAGAAATGTTAAGATGTTTTGGATTAGGTGATTCAAATTCGTAATAAGTATGCTGTGATTACTACTATAGTTTCATAGAGAAGCGTCCATTTTTGTTATATTGTGAACTAAATGACAGAAGAACCACTTACATATCTCTTTTCTTTGAAAAATGACGCAATTAATTAAATGTTAAATGTGACCTAACTTTCATATGCTATCCATTATTTTTATTCAAAGATTAAATATAGGGATGCTGGAATAATTGCTTAGTGCATTCAATAAACAATATCTTGTTTAAAAAGTGTATCCCGAGTTTGTTTGTATGACAGGAACATCATGTTAATCATTTACATTTTATTTCAATTTTAATTTTTTTGATTTCGTTTCACGTTTTCTTTGCCTGTGCATAGGCAGGTCTATTTTTTCACGTGTTTTTCATGACCGGGTCTGTCTGACTTGAACAGACCTGTGCACGTGCAAAAGATAGACCTCATAACGGATTTTCTTTTGTTAAACAGGTCTATCCGAAAAATATAGACCTGTCACAAACAATAGAGGAGGTGTGTAATTGCCGTTATTTTCTTAATTATTTGCCTATATTTTTCAATTATTTATAGAATGTCAAGCTCCTGTGCTCGATCATTACCTGGATCAGTCGGTAATTGAACTCCAATATACAACTAATATACATGATCTGCTTAGCTCACAATCGTGTGGTATCCGCGTCGTCAAAACATGTCAAAAGTTTCAACATTCTATTAAATCAGAAGTATTTACCTGGCTATAAGTACACACGCACTGTTAAAGATTAATTGTTTTTCCATTCTTCTAACTGTCAGACAGTTAGCACTGTTATATTTAGGAAATAGATATCTATTCTAATGTATTGTTATAGATTAAAGGTACTGTGTTATTATAAAATGACGTCTTCTCCAAATGTTCATTCAATGAAACATATAAAATAACAAATTAAAAATACATGGAATTTTATCTGGTAAGCCGAATACCTAATATTCCAGTGTTCGTTTCATAGTCATTGGAACCATTTCAACTTTATAAAATAAGATAAACCTACATTTCATGGCGTTTCAATTATTCCTCTTTTTGTCTAGCAGTCTCAAGCCGTTAACCTTCGTCACAAACATAAATTTTATAGTGAAATCAGTAAAAGAAAAAACGACACATGCCATTGTCAATGATATCCAGCGTTCATTTTCTATATCAGCAACTGATACAGAAAAAGTCACTGCAAAGAGCCATGGTTTGGTCCAAGAATATATTATCATCATGTCGAATTAATAAAAAAGTGACATGTGACAAAGTAGCGTTAAAATCTTTTAATGCGACATCACCATAGACATTCGAGACAGTTTAAACATTTTTTTTCTTTGTGAAAACAACGATATATTATTTATCTCCGGAGTTGGTCTACACAAAATGTTGTGTTTTTTATTTCATTTTTGAATTGTTTATTTTATGTTGTTGATGATGATGTTATTGTTGTTGTTATTGTTGTATCTTTTACAATTTATGAAGTGGATATAAATAAATGTTATTACGTATAATATAATTTGTTAACATTCTGCCAGAGTTAGATTTCGGTAGATATTTTAACCGAGAAATTGTTAGTATTGTAACAATGCCAGTATTTATGTTAACACTTTTCTCCTAACAAAATAAATGCAGCGTGCAAACACATCATGAGCAAAAGTGAACATTAACCGATTTTTCAATCGTTTTCATTTTGCATCTTACATGAGTAGTTAGTTAGGACCTATCATGTGGTGAATTTTCTTTTATGTCTAATTTACTTACCATTCGCTTATGGGTATATTTTCCTCTAGTAGACTTACTATTATTAAACACATTATGCCTCAGAAATTTTTTTTTTAATTCTTTAAAAAGTTTAAACATGGGTTTTAAAAGTGATGTTTTAAAAAATTATTTAGATCATGTTAGATGTTAAACAACTGAAGAATGTGGCACTGCATGTGCAGTTATGTGTCGTAAAAAGAAGCAAAATGTAATCAAAGTAATATTTTGACTTCCATACGAAATATAAAATCAATATATAATTATATCTATTGCCAAAGAGCAAAAGATAGTTCATCTGTATATGGCCAATGAGTACATTTTTGGAAACTGTAATAAAATACCAAAAAACAAAAAGTGAATGGGAAATAAAATGATAGCAATTTAGTGGCTTAATGGGCCTTTAACTAATTGTAACTGCATTGAATAAATACGATTTACAAATTGATAAACACAAACAACAATATACGAGTATACATAAAGATAAAATTAAACATAATATTTGGACATTGCATTAACTCACCTAGTTTTAATAGATAAGAAAATACTCTAACAACAATTTGATTGTTTTACGAAAGAAGAAAAAGTTGGGACATTTCAACCTCATGAATTTCCGGCTTCATCTTCGTGAATTCGCAATTTCAACTTCATGAATCCCAAGTTTTCACGAATTCACGATTTAAACTTCATAAAGTCAGGATTTCAACTTCACGATTTCAACTTCTCGAATTTGCGTTTTGAACTTAACGATTTTAACTTCACGAATTCACAATTTCAACTTAACTAATTCACCATTTCAACTTCATGAATTCAATTTTATGAATTCATGTTTCGAAGTTGAAATCGTGAATCCACGAAGTTAAAATCGTGAATTCACTAAGTTGAAATCGGGAATTAACTAAGTAAAATTATGAAGTTATAAACGTGAATTCATGAAGTTGAATTTTTGAAGCTGAAATCGTGAATTCTGTAAGTTGAAATCGTGAATTCATGAAGTTGAAGTTGTGAATTCATGAAGATATATCCGAGAATTCACGGAGTTGAAATGTCACTTTTTATCAAATAAGTATTTATACGTGATATAGATGAACGATCGGGAATACAATAATTTTAGATCAGACCCGGTTTCATTGTGTCCGTACAATTTGAAACCATTCATTTTGAAAAAATATATAATGAATTCGTTATCAAAAATAAATCATAAATGAAAATGTATATTAAATAATGAGTATTTAATATAATTAACATATGAATTTAAAATATCAGCATGTTCTTAAAATAATTGTTTTATTTCTGTTACTTGGTCTGAAATTAAAACAGTTAGTTATGAGTTCGCGTAGTATAAATAACTGGTCGGGTTAGCTCATAAATCTGAGATCTGCGTGTTAGGGAGCCAACATTCTACAAATTGGTAAGTAATTACCTATGAAAACACAGAAACTGTTACTAAACATTCATTATAAATCTATTATATACCTGTTATATTTGACAGACGTCTTTCTATTATGTTTTAACATAGCATCTTTTTCATTGAATTATTTTTATTTATGTTATTTTGTTGGAAGCTGTTTAAGTAATTACAAGTGATTGTTTTAGCGACGTTATGATGAATGTTTCTCTTTCAGTTTTTTTGACAATTTTCAGTAATATAGTTTAGTTATCTACCATTTCATAATTATCTATGTTACGATTTTCTGTTACCGGTGAATTATCACGTAAATTCCATGACGTCAAACAACACATCATTATCATAAAACATATATAAAAAGTAAAGTCTCCTTACAGCTTGGCTGTGCGAAAGATTAAGAAAATAAGTAGACTATATGCGTACTAATATTGATGAAAGATTTGAGTTAAAAGAATTCTATTCCACTGACTAATACTTTTTTTCTTTTCTTTTTTTTTTTATATTTAACTTTTCATTTTAAACACATAACTTCTTGTCAAATAAAATGTAACAATATATATAGAGAGAGAATAACATACTACTGTCTTTTGATATCAATTTTATCATCATAGCTTAATATTGAAGATCTATAAATCAAGAAAAATATCCAAATAGCTGTGCCAAAGCCAAAGCGTGCCCCTCAGCCATTCCTAAAATGACTTTAGATTGACGATAAATCTACTACACAGACATTACATGCATTTTGACAGCAGACATTTTAAAAAAACATATAATAAAAAAATAGTATAAATCTAGATCTAGGGCTATATCTCCAGATAGATCGTAAGAAACTATTACACAGTGTGCAATAAAGGAAGTATTATTGCCAAATAACAAGACAGGGAAAAGTACAGGCGCATTTAGAATAAGAGCTAAATTTGTGACTTGACGTTAGATCGTTCTTGAAAGCAATCAACTTAAAAATAGCACGTTATTCTAACAAATGAAGAACACTTATCAATATAAACAACAATAAAACAACATTTTCTTATCTTTAATTTGTGTTATCATGTTTTCTAAGTTAATAAAAATTGATGTTTGCTAGTTCAACCGAATGGCAGATTGAATATATTTGTTTGCATTGACAAGTGTCCGTTTCTTCGGAAGTGCGTCAACAAGGATTGGCTAAGTCATCATTTTGCTATTTCGTTTCGAATAAAATTTTGACAGAAGTAACCGAAGAAACAGATCAATATACATGTATTTCCAAACTTAACATAAGCAGTTAAATTTATCTTTTGTATCCTATACACTTTATAATTTGATAGTCAACTTCCAGTATTTGCAGAGTAAATACAAATACGATCTGGTTTTTATATAAATTAAGCCTGTTATATACATTTTATGTCATCCTATGAGATAAATGTAGATATCAGCATATCTCCATATATTTATTCCAACTGAAAGAATTGTATAACAAATGATATTTGCTTAGATAATATGTTTTGTAATTTATTGTACATATGCCAGGCTCTTTTATTGTTCGGTTTTGTAAATATGTTTTGTTCTTCAATGTTGGAGGAATAAAAAGTATCTATCTATCTATTTCCGACATAGATATTAATGACGTTAATACTTGTTTGCTGCTCTTCTATTATATCAATCACAACTGAGATAAATTATTTTTATTATTCTTATTTACCCTAACATATATACACGTAAAGTATTAAACATTTTTCCATAACGTATAAACGTAATATATGTTAAAACCGTTTAACAATAGTAAAAATGACATAAACACGCGAAAACAAAAGCTTAAGTTATTCAAGATATGTGTCATTTCAAAACAGTTAATCTTTTGTAAAAAATATTTATCATTGGTGATCTCAATAATATGTTTATAATAAGCCATCTTTTGAAGGTCCTTGTGCTTGTTTTGCAAACGCCCCTTTGTTGTATGCTCCGATGTGGACTTCATCCGCATTCACTTCTTTTTCAGTTTTTAAAAAGAACACTGCTAATCCTTTGTCATCATTGTATCTTTGAAAGAAAGAGTTATATCCCAGTTGTCTAATCGGCATGTTTAGATGACATCTATAAATATTCTCATGTATAAAATTAAAAGTGATATTTTTGATCACATGGTGTTTAACTTTTAGCTTGATGTCATCTAGTTCACGCTCTGCAAATAATGCCTGTACATCTTCTGCTAAACCTTCAACATTGAAGTGTAGCGTATCTGGTGTTTCCCTCGTACATACAACATAATTATTGTTAACTTCATGTTTCGCCAAATCCTTTTTCAGAACAGCATTGGATATTGCACGTCCACCATTTACCTTTAAAATCAAAACATCATTGTCTAAGTCATTAACGTTAACATAATACTGTAATTGTAAATTATGTTTTAAGTTTTTTTCTTTCTTGTAGAAATTGTCAACATCTGCCGATTTTTATATATAGGACGGTCACCTAGATCAGATTATGACGCCTTATTAGGGTAAAGAAAACAATAGATTAATTCCATAACAAAAGTTTATGCGAGAATGACAACCTGTTCACCAAAAGAAATAAAGCTCATTTTGGTAAAAATTTCATGCATCGCTTCGGATGTATGAAAAGACTCATTATCCTTATAACAAGTCTAATGGCTTGTTCAATTAAAATGACCCAAAGTTTCTTGAAAGTTTTGAGCTGGTAGGAAATGACCATAACATCTCTCGTTCTTTACAGAAAATAAAACTGTATTAGATGCTTTTAAATCATTTATTTAAATACTAAAATAGTTAAAGATAAATATTTATAATGTAGCATAAAAATTGACTTACTTCTACAAATGCTCTAGGCAAAGTTCCATAATTTTTGCAGACACATGAAAATGTCCGTAATTTATTGAGTTGTAATTTGAAAACGTTGTTCATTATTGCAGGTCTGATTTCTCTTTGGCAGTAAGCTTGCCGTTATATTGGATTTTTACTCTAACGTTACAAAATGCAGAATATTGGTTAACAGAAACAGTTTAGCCCTGAGAATATTTCTTATTTCGTGGAGGGGAGATATAATCGATGTATATTTCACGAACAAATTGAATAAGTTCGTACCAATTTATATCATGATAAATACTTGTGCTGGCAACATTCTGATAAAAAGAAGAAAAAAAACGTACAAAGACTGAACACATTTAAAGATACGTATATGCGTAATTTGACATCCTATCAGAATGGTCATAACTTGTCGGGGAATTTCAGTAGTTTGTATAAGGCGATTTGGCAACAGTTACTTACGATTGATGTTACTGGACAGTCTTTTAATCAGTGTCCATGCTTGTATAATAATATTAACTTACGTTTCAGCTTGTTAGACCTCAAGGTATGCAGCCACTTTACAAACATACATTTATTAAAACTGAAGAAGTTTATGGCATTGTCAAAGACCACAAACATTCATTGTTTTTTTTATATCTCACTACCTGATATTTATTACCGATGCAGAGATTTGTTAATAGAAATCATTTTTGCTGTCGGTACACGAAACATACTGGAGGTTTCAAAAAAAGCAATGTAGTCAATGGTTATGTCTTGCCGAGTGATAGTTTAGTAATTAGTAGGTATAAGTAATGTGACCCTTGTGACTGAGTAGTCGCATTTACGAGACGAAGCAGGTGAGGTAGTTTTGACTCCTGGTGTTGCTTAAAGTTTGTCGGCGCCATATGACCAAAACTGTGTTGGTGCGCCTGTAAGTATTATAACAATGCCAGTACTCGTGTTAACTAACATGGTCTGATTATTTTAAAGACAAACAACTTCTGTAAATTTCAAAGATGATATTTTCTGCTTATTTTGGGTGATATGATATAGAAAATTCTAAATCTACACTGAGTTAAATAAAGGTACTGTGGCTAAATACGTTATGATTGACGTCCATGTGGTTGGTATTTGTATTTATTCTGATTGTAATGATTTTCTACAATGAAATACAGGTACATTTAATCGTGCAAAACAAATGAAAATATACTAAGTATATAAAATAAAAATATCTAAATCTATATTCTGCCTGCTTCCAGTTGGTTTTTTATTCAACTTTAATTGATATTTTTCTACTTGAATATAGATTTTATTTAGATTCTAATTTCTAATTCAATAAGAAACAAATTGTCAGTCATCATCTTCAGATAGCCATACAAAGTGCATACTTGATATATTATTAAGGCATATGTTTAAGAGTTAAGAGTGTTGTTTTATATTAAAAATATTTGAGAAGTCTGTTTAGCATAGAAAATTCTGTAATTATTTTGTACCACTGTTATATGTTGCAACATTGTTCAATGTCGCACACCCTTAACAACAGTTTTATTGAGCTAAGCAAGTCTTTTTATTTCGTTATGGGTTATTAAGAAATGATGTAAAGTCATACAATTTTCTTTCCTCTCGTCAATTTCTTTTAATAACGGCATATTTTAAAGAAATATTTAGTCTCTTTGTTTTCAAGCTGAATATGTTATAATATTTTGCCGTCTGTCTTAAAACTAAGCACAATACTGTATTATTAACCTATTAACCTTTTTACTGTTATAACTTCTTATAAGTTACTATAGAGTAGATAAAATTTGCATGAAAACATCCGTTATTAATGCGGAAATATAATTTCGGACTGCTAACTTAAAGCCTTGTTTGTTGATTTTCTATTGATGCAACAATTTATGCTTATAAACTCATTCTGGTTGCCTGCACACCAAAGTAAAGTCGTATGTCGAAATGAAAACAATTTTAATGTAACACTTTCTGTTTTTATGAAATTTATGAAATGCAGCTTTAACCGAAAAAGGAACAATAATGATTTTAGCATTGCACGAAATTTTGTATTGTGATTGATAACAAATTGAAAAGCATGAACCAAAAGTAAAAATAGACTTTTCAAAATGTAGCCATTGGCCCTTGAGGTACCTAAAAATCACCCTAACGAACAACAACAACGAAAATCAAAACGAACAAAATTACGGGAAGTTCACTCTAAACGTATTAAATTGTTTTCAAGTCACTCGATCCACAGGAGCTTTACATTCTTTAAATAATTGAAAAATATAGGCAAATAATTAAAACATAACGGCAAATATACCCCTCTATACTATAAATATTGTTTGATTTTATTAACCTGTCAATTCCATACTGATTAACGGTCAATGCACAGAATATATTAATATTCGATAAATGTTCGGTAAATTCCGTGAGATGTTCGCAGTAAGATGTGGTTAAATTCATCTTGTTTCTATTAATTAGTTACACTGACACGTTATAGCGCAATAGGGTGAACTACTGGTATATAATATATAAATGCCTTACGTGTTGTAAGATCGAGACAGTGTATGTCCAGTATTTTTTCTTATTCATAACTATTTTCAACATTTTTTAAGTTATGATTGTTCCGTTTTTAATATGTTTTGCACTTTTTTGTAAATACTATACATTTGTTATATATAAATGTATAGTATTTACAAAAAAAGTTTAAGAATAATACTGAAAATTCATTCCGATTTAAATCAATAAATGTAGTTATACTATACAAATGTGACAATTCAGTGTTTCTTTGTTGGTTCATATCCGTGTAGACAAATTGCAAGCGCTTGACCATTTTCATTAAAATATACTTAAAAATAAAGAAAAAAGTAAGTCTAAAAAGAGTGTCAAATAAGGGCCCGAACCTCGGACCCCTCATGCATTAGGTAATCACTTAACCGACTGTGCTATTGCAGATGTTACAAGAACCTACATTAATCTAGTGGGACTTTCCAAACGTAAGTAATATACTCCATATTAATTCTCGTAAGATAAACGAACAAACCCGAAGTGGGATCGAATATTTAAATGAGTGCTATAATGTATTCATAATTGACAGGTCAATAAAATCAGACTATAAACACAAGGAATGCAACGCCTTTTGCACACTCAATACAAATTTTATCTAATAACACGCTTGAACAAACTGGTTTAGCAATCTCAGGCTTCGGTCATGTGATCAAAACGCGGCAATATGTATGTAAACAAAACGGTGACAATATACAACAATTGAGTTTTAACAGGTCATTGCTATAATTCATTAAAAAAAGACAGTCATTTATAAAACAGATAACATATGAAGCAAGCATGGGATGGGGGGGACATCAAAATGGCAACAATATATGGCAAATGGTAACAATATAAAAAGCGGTGATACCCCACCCACACAAAGCATGTATAGTTCAGTCAATCGAGGCGGAATTCAAATAAAAGTATGGCAAGTAATACTGTGCCTATTGAGACAACCAAAAATGTCCAAGTAAAATAAAATGCAGAATAATGTGAAAAATGCAGTGGCTAAAACTGAACATAATGTAAAAATGCTAGATGAAAAAGTGCAATCAAACAAAACAAATACACGAATACCAGAATAGCATTGAAGTGATAAGTGGCCTTTATGAAAATATAAATTTTGACCAAAATGATACTGAAAGTAAAATAGATCATCTACAGGGTCTAATAAAAAAATGGAAGTAACCATGGATGAAATAAAAGAAAATCAACATGAAACAATATTAGATCATCAATGCAGAAGCATGCAAGACAACTTAATTGTCTATGGTATAGACGAACCTAAAAGAGAAACAGGGGAATATGAAAACACTGAAGAATGTCTGAATATATTGTAGTAGGGTCCGAAATACATTTTTTTGTTATTTATTACTTTCTGATGTTTTCGTATCTTTGCGCTAATTTTTATTAATGTTGAATAGTCTTCTACTTGGAGGTAGAGCGGGAATTTGGTCAGCGTGAGGAAAAGGCGGTCTTTTTGGCGTGGCACCAGTTTTAGTATTGGAGAAGAAAGATATGTGTGATAGAAAGATAAATATAAAGGTTTACAGACTCCTTAAGTTTGAACCATAAATATTATAGATCCTATGGAATGTCATTTTGATGTACAAAACCGTGAATAAATGTTTGACTGAAGCAGAGTGTTATTTGTATGCTAAACCGTATAGACCAGTCCTACCCAGTGAGGATAACAACAAGAAGAAAGTAGAAAAGAAGTGATCGAAGAAGTGTAAAACTGTGTATAATTTCTGCCCGCCATATTTGTTTGTTATTTAAATTACATGGTGCCTTAAGTGGTGCTTTTATAAAGAGAAGTTGTGATAAATAATCTTCAACTAGTTCAAAAATATTAATACACTTGATACTATAATTTATATGATAAGCAATTTTATTGCCATAGATTTTCTACATTCATTAATCAACTCGGACCTTGATTCTACACTTTCAACGATATGACATTACTTATTAAGGAGATTCACATTGTTTAAAGTTTCAACCCATTAGAATTATATCATTTCTACTTCCGAGAACACTCGCTGTGCTATTTGAGAAAAATCTACAACAGAACTTTATTTGTGAAAATATTTTTATTATTTTTTATTTTTTAAATTACTACAAATAATGCGACTAAACTTTTTAAGTGTTTATATTCTGTTATATTCATCTACAAAACATTTGTGTATCAGAATGTTCATAGAATATTATTAGTTCAGGTGCAAGGATGGAATCGACTGTGATTTAGAGTAATACGTCTGTCATTGTGTACTGTGTTTAAAGTTTTGTCAGTGGTAAACAGCCAGTGGTCCTTAAAGTTGTTCAGTTGTCATTGAGGTGGTGAGTGAAGTTAAGGCATTTTACTTTTATCACTCTTTTGTTTTTCTAAATTCAGAATTAGTTTTTCTTCTAATTGATCTGATATTCAAGTTGATTTTTCATCTTTTATAAATGAATCATATCGAGTGATTAAAGTAATATAAAAAAAACAACATCAAATATTATTGTGCGTCATTGTAAAGAAAGTGTGAAAGGAATATTTCACTTAAACACTTCCATAACAAAAAGATGTATTTCGGACCCTACTACAATATTTTTAATAAACAAAATGAAAATACACAAAAGCATCCCATTTCAAAGGGTACATAGACTTGGCAAGAGGAGAAGGGATCAAACTAAACCAAGGCAAATCATTGCGAAATTTAAAGAAGATAAAGATAGAGAGTTGATAAAGCTTGGTGTAAGAGAACAATACCCAAGAGAAATTGAAAACCGCAGAAAATTATTGTACTCAAAACTGAAAGAGGCAAAATAAACTGGACAGAGAGTTAAATTAGTAAGAGATAAATTATTTATTGACAATGAAAGATTTTTTCCAGATTACAGTGAATTCCCCAAAATAGACAAAAGAACTAACAGAGAAAACCCGACCAGACAAGAGATACACAAGACATAAACAGGACAAAGGTGTACTACAGAACAAATACAAACAAAAATACTGCAAGTTTAACTGGTGTACACACTCCAACATAAAACAGATTTCAAGTCCTTATAGACATGAAAGATGAACATGAACCATCTCTTAGCAAACTAGCGGCTAAATCACCAATTGATACATATTTAGAGACAAAAATATAGGGAATGCTCACAAACCACAATAAGTTCTGAATACACATCGCTTCCCTTCTTTCTCCCCGGCGAGAAGGGTAAACCCATCACCCGAAGCTCCGCGGGCGAAGGGCGAGTTGGATCGGACCGTGCCGGGTCACCCCCCCACCTCGCGAATACCGGTGACAGTTGGCAAACGGAGCTCATTTTCGTCCAAAGCGGAAGGTTTTTCGTATGCCGAGCGAGAACGGAGTGGGCCAGCTCGGTGAGCGAGCACTCGCTGGAAAGGTCTCGGCGAGTCGGATCGGGCCGTGCCGAGCCCCGTCCCCACCTCGCGAATACCGGTGACAATTGGCAAAAAAAACGCATTCTTTTAAAACGACGGCCGCGCGGTGGGCTCGAACGCGGCTTTCGGTCGCGGAAACGGATGTGTTTCGTAAGGAACAGAATCCGGTATCTAGTCATATACTTCTCCAGACCCTGCACAGCAGATTTATCTCTATATTGTCTCATAAATATGCAGATTTGACAGTTTGAAAATTTGAATCGAGAGACCAACGCATTATTCTCCAATTTCGACATTATTTATGCATGCCTAGAAAAGGTAAATCTGCAAAACGTTAGTCCTTTATGTTAGGAAACGTTTATAAAAGTAATTGAGCAGTTGAACCTATTTTCCTGTTCGTTAAAAGCGTTTGAAAAAATAAACAATGTTACAGTATAGAGCGAGGTGATTTGAGCAGGGGTACAGCATAGACCAAGCGATTTTTATTCGATTTGTTACAGTTTATACCCAGATTACAGTTTAGACTTCGATATTTCCTATATTATAAACTAGGTAAAATGTATGAATGTTACATAGACTTTTAAATCTCTGTGAGCTTATTGGCCCGATGGCTATTCGTCCGTCTGTCGTACACATTTGTGTGCAATCTCATCCGCTCAGTAACTACTTGACTAAATGTGATGAAATTTACATGCTTTTCTACCAATTAGTTGTTCAAATGGTTTCGGTTGCAATCGGGGATACGAAAACCCAAAACATAGATTTTGAAAAAAGGCAATGTTTAAAGACCCTTCTCATCTCGAACAAAAAGCTTTCAAATCAAATCATGATCATGGCATTTCGAATGCTTCTTTGTTGAAGTTAAGATTATTTTGTCATCATTAAATTAAAAGTCGTTTTTTTTATTGAAGACATCCTGTATAGAAGTTTTCATGTTTTTGAAAAAGAAAATAATATTGAAAGTTATAGAGTATAAATTAAGGTCAGACAATTACAATATCTTCTCTAGTGAGCCTGATGGAGGTACATAATATTGGCAGAGTAGGGATAAGGTCGTCGACTTCAAATCATCTTTTCTTGACTGCTGTGGTTGAAATCTCATCATGACTTTGGATTCTTTGTATGTGAGGAATCTATCAAGCTAATTTTACGGAAGGTCGGTGGTTCTAGTCAGGTGCCCGCTCGTGTCTGAAATGTTTCACAAGGGTATCTGGGGTCTTTCTTTACACTAAAGCAGAAATGTTTTCACATGACCTCAGTGTCGTTGAAACTTAAAATCCAGGAAAGCCAAACGTAACAAACCCTTTTTAAATACTTACAAAATATATTTTTGTAGATGGAAACTCCAACATAAGATAAAATTTAAGGTTGCAGTATTGCTCACTTAAATACTGTTTAATCACCCTTAGGGTCTTGCCTGCTTGTTAATTGTGTCTTTTGACAGCTTATCTGTGGTATGCAGGCTTCATTATCTCCATATGAACACATCCACAGATGTTAAAAAATCTAAAGTGTACCAGTCCATGTTTAATGTGAATTCTGCTGAAGCCGGTGTTAGGAGGCGTGGACGGTAACTTGCAGTTACCACTACCGTCCATGAACAGGTTTAATCAAACTGAGCCTGCAACATTTTCATGTTTTCCTTGTTGGACTTCTTTTAAGGATTCTTTTTTCTCTATTTTATTACTAATAGGCATTATTATAATGTGTAATGAAATCAAGCAATAACCTTTCTTCTCTCAATACAATTTGATAAAAGTTACTGTTGTTGTCGTGAAAACAGTCCTTACTTAGGGCATTACTTATTCTGCAAAAAGTTTCAATCTGAAACTTAAAGTAAGGAAAATAGCAACTATAACTTTTCTTCTGAAGAAAAAAAGTAATGCAACCTTTCAAGAATGTATTAAATAGAAAGTTATGAGTTATTTCATAAAAATAATGGATACACGAACTTTGATTAAAATTTATTAAGTATATAAACTGTAACCGAAATCTGGGTATAAACTGTAACAAAATTGAATCAAAGTCGCTAGGTCTATGCTGTTACCCTGCAAAATTAACCTCGCTCTATACTGTAACATTGTTTATTTTTTCAAACGCATTTTACCAACAGGAAAACAGGTTCAGCTGGCCATTTACTTTTATAAACATTTCTAAACACAAAGGACTAACGTTTTGTAGATTTACTTTATCTAGGCATGCTTAAATAATGTCGGAATGGAAGAAAAATGCGTTGGTCTCTCGATTCAAATTTTTAAACCGTCTAATCTGCACATTTATGAGACAATATAGAGATAAATCTGCGGTGAAGGGTCTGAAGAAATATATGACTAGATACCGGATTCTGTTCCTTGCAAGGAAAGCACAAAAACATCTTTTAGAAGCTAAACTACTTGTAGTATGGACCTGAATAAGAATCACCTACCTCTCTTCCCATAAATAATCCTCCATCTTGAAAATTCTATACTGTAACCACAAAACGCGATACTGTAACACGTTCCCTACGGTGATTTAGTCACTCTTAAATCGTAACAGAGATATTTTAACTGCCTCAAACAGGATACCATAGAAACTGACTGAAAGTTGTAGCAATGAATCAAATCAATTGGATGGCCATTTCGAGGAACAAAGTTACTGTTGATTTTAGCATTGACGAAACTAACAATAGTTCGTTTGACGATGCTAAAACTCTATCATTTTTTGTGTATATCGTCTGACATTACAAAAAAACAACATTACCATGACATTTACTGTCCCGTCCCAACTCACAAAAAAATCATCGGCCATATCCAGCTGAACATTGTCTTAAGCTTAGCTTGTAAATAAGGAAACTTACCAAATTTGGGGTCCAAAACGTTATCCATTTAACATTGACGCAAAACATGTTCAGAGACGGTTTCAATGTTGAATGACATAATTAATCTCACTCATGAAGGCAGGCATTTCAACATTATTTATCATGAATAAAAGTGAATTATGTCCGATTGAAATAAGTGCACGAAAATTCCATGCACTACACCTTTCACTGCCCTACGCTTTAAGGCCATGCAAATATTTTCTATTGTTTTATATTTTCAACTTGAACATACATTTAATTTCAGTTAGATTTATTTATAATTGAATGCGTTTATCTTTTCTTTACACTTAAACGTCGTATAAATCGGATACAGTTACTCGTATTTTCTTCGAAAATGTCTTCTTACAGACGTTCAGAAGACAGTTCGCCAGGACAAACAACACTTTATCATCGGCCTCGCCTTGGACAATTTGTTGTTTATCCTAGCAAACTGTCTTCTTACGTCTGTAAGAAGACACTTTCGAAGAAAAACTCGTACTGTATCCATTACGTGGAAGTGTTTTCATTTTTTTTATTATTTTGTAAATCAGAACTCGGAGAATGCTATGCGATGTAGATTTGATTAAAGTTTCCAGAAAACGTAAAGTTGTTATACTTGTGTTTGAAATGTAGTTGTGGCGGCGTTTTACTGGATATTCAAGGTGTTTAAAAGAAAAGAAAAAGAATCATAGTTTTCTGACTAGCTGGAAACAATGTAAATACTTGTACATTAAAATGGCAACTCACTGGGCATTTTAAATAATGAACAAAGAAATCTTCTCAGAAACCTTTAAAAACAAAAACATCAAAGGCTCAATAAATAGTTCGTGTCACAACTGTGGCATTCATAGTTATATTCTCTCATGTGAACAGTTACTATGTGACGCTTCAAACCCTTAGGCATACTAAATTGTTTACAGCAATGTAAATATACTGTGTTCCTGTTAGGTAATTGCGTGTGTACATTTGAAGTTTGTACACAGTGTTAACATCTGTACAGATTACTAATCATCCTGAAGTTGGATCACTTCGTGAATGATGTAGCAGGAATAACTGCTCATATAAAACAAATATTGTCAAATAGCTGATTTCTTTCTGCATACTGAAGATACCCGTTGTATCAACATCCTAAAGATCTTTTTCACCGAAAACTTTTTACATTCTCTGCCCTATCATTTTGGTCCCCTTTGAAACCATAGAACTATCTCCTTGGCAACATGATTACCTCCTTCACGATTCAGCTTTCTCCAAGAACAAATATCCTATATTTTCTTTATTAACTAATGTTTTGATCTGATTTCAATCTTATTTCATTTCTAGACATTATTAGTCGCCGGTAGAAACCGGCGACTATATTTGTAATAGTTTAATATCATACCTATGGTAGGAGAAGGCATTAATTTCTGTAAATAAAAGCATAACAATTACTGAACAATTAAAGACTACAATTGCTTTCAGTAATCTAAAAAATTCAAACATACAATAATGTTGCTAAATGAAATGAAATATTCAAATACTGACATCGTAAAAAGCAACATTACAATATTTATAAAATGAATTAATGACGTATCCCTATGGACCAGTCATTGAATTTAGGGATGCTTTTACTTTTTTAAAGTGTCAAGCGTTGCTATTTTATGATAAATAAATCATGCATGATATTTGAAATGACACTTTTAAATTATCTGGTTGTTTGTATCTTATGAGACCTATTCTATTTTTTATCTTATTTATTATAAACAGTTTCTCCCAGAATCACGTGACTACACGTTGTATGTTATTGTTATGAAATCTATTAATAGTAACAAATGGCTGATAAGATAGACATACAGGTAACATGTGAATGGTTGGCAGCTGATAAAGTGCAAATCAAAGTAATTTTGTATGAAAAATCTCGGTATGACAGTAGGGGTCGGAATCGTATTGGATACACAGAGAAAACTAATAAACCATCTTTGTGTTGATAGTTTATCGCACTGAAAGGCAATTAAACATTAACTTTATCGTATGTAACGACAGGAATATTGATTTTCAGCTAAATAAATATTTTTTCGATCAGTGCATAAGAATAATTTGTTTATGCAGACACCACTTTTACAGTAGAATTGCATATATATTTTCATAGTCACTTTGCAAATATTCGATGATTGGTAATAATTTGTTGGTAATTATCGGATGCTGAAGAAAACCATACGTATAACGGTATATGAATAAAGTAGAATTACAAATAGAATTATAATCATATCACTTGCTTTACAAGCCTCGATGACAAGGTGTTAGATTTTAAGTTAGTTTCAAATTGAAGACTGTAGGTTCGATCAAGTGATTTTTTATGTTTTCTTTTATAATACTTTTTGTATTTTGCAAAACTTGACCGTTTATCAAAATTATGAAATAAAAAAGTGCTAGAAATGAAACACACGATTTATCAACTTATGTTTCATAAAGTTAAAAGATATAATAAAAATCAATTTATGAAAACTACACACAGGATTTGTCCGAGATTCGAACTTGCGCCTACTACATGTAGGTTACAATTTCGTCATACTTACCACTAGGCCATCGAGCAGTATTAATTTTTATAATTATACATGTAATTATACTTACAATAAAATCGTTAACATTAATCATAATAAGATATGTAAGCAAACGAAACAGCTCCCGAAAATTATTGAGTCTCGGGTAAATATTGCCAAACAATACTTGCTTATTTAATAATGATAACAGTTTTTTGACAAAATCAAGTTTGATTCAAATATGATGTTTTATTATAACATAAGATAATTTTTTTGCATAAAACTCTCATCAAGGAAGATATAATTGTGGCAAATAAATGAAAACGTGTTTATGAATAAACATTACTCAACTTATTGTTCCTCTTTTCTTTATACTCGAACCATTAAACTGATATTTTCTTTTATTTATGATAATACAATCATTTTTCTATCCGGCGACTTGATGCTTTAGCATCAAAATCTCTACTCGTATCTACTTGAAACGTTTTTGTTTTTAATCCGAAACGCTGTTTAGATGAAAATTGGAGGAAAATTTATCAGTTTCATGATGAAACAGTCCATTTCAACGCTGAATTCGCTAACTGGGAAACGCCGCCACAACTACATTTCAAACACAATTATAACAACTTTACGTTTTCTGGAAACTTTATTCAAATCTACATCGCATTCTCCGATTTTCGATATTTGGTGCAGAATTTACAAAATATATAAAAAATAAAAACACTTGACACTTGATTTTAGCGACTCGGAAGTAGCGATAGAGCGATTTACCGTATACCTCCGAAAGAGGTAGCTCTATAATTTACCAGGCGTGTATTAAACAAGGTTAGCTTTTAAAAAAGCTAGTAGCGACTCGCTTCGTAATTTTATTCCAGGGGTGTGTTTAAATGTAAAAATGACAGTTCTGTATCTGAAGAGACTTCAGCGAACATCAAAATGAAAGTGACATATAAAGTTACGGAAGCCAGTTCTCTCAGTTTAACAAAGGGGAATATGAGTATATATGAAGATGCATGTAAACAGATAGAATGAAGTCCCTATGTCTATGAACATTTACTATATGGCCTGTTGACCTTGACCAAAAATGTTAGATAGGTAGAATTCATAAAGATGTCTCTTTATACGAAGTTAAGTTGTAATTTGTTATTTAATATTGGAATGAGTGACAGACACAAGTCCTTTACAGGAATATATTACTGAAGAACTCTCTTGGGGTGTGGCGAATTTAGATTCATGTGGCATGATTATAATGATTTTGTACAATTCTCAAGTCTCGTTAAATCCCGGTCAAAATAGACCGGGAGAGACCCGGAAGCGACCGGGACCGGAAGAATAGTATATCCAGTAAATACATACACAAAATACCGGGACAGGATAAAATTACCCGGAAAAAAGAAAAAGAAAATATGCACAGAACCAGATGTACACTTATGTTAATTAACCAATTAATTGTTAATTGTTTAACTTTACTACAGAGAAAACAGGTTGAAATCGCTAAATTCAAAAGTCAGTGTTAAAATATGATTTATTGAAAGAATCATGAAAACAAATATTTTATCATCATTATCATCTTTGCGCCTCAAAGCAATACTTGTTCCTTTTTTAAAAATTGGCGTGAAAATTGAAGGTTTTTTTACGCTATGTAAGATCAAATTTGATTGGCTTAATTATTTTGGATTCCAGCCCAGACAGATAAATTTTGTAGAAAGCTGGAAGCCAAGCTTAGATTAAATTTTTGGATGGATTCGGAGTTTTAGGTTGTTTCTAAGTAAAATCCTAACGTAATACCGGCTTGCCGTGGCGAGCCGGCATCAGAAGTATTTACCTGGCTAAGAGTACACACGCACTGTTAAAGATTAATTATATAACACTGTTATATTTAGGAAATAGATATCTATTTTAGTGCATTGTTATAGATTATAAAAAATTGAAACGACTCTTGATGAAGTTTTTTTTTAAAAATTGAAAAAGAATATAGAAGCAAAAAAAAAATCACTAAGAAATGTTTTTGATTTTATCATTTTTGTGAAGTTGGCTGCCTTACGGCCTAACGGCATTTTTACAAAATAATCTAAGCGGCTCTTAATGGAGTTCAAGATTTTTCTAGTTATTTTACGATAAATAAAGAGTGTAATCACTTTCAGAGAACTTTTTGGATTTAATTTTTGTGAAGTTGGCGGCCTACGGCCTGGCGACCTTAACTTTAAGAGTTGTAGAAATTTTATTAAAACTATCTAAACGGCTGTTAATAAAATTCTTAAACTATGTTTGTCATTTAAAAGATATATGAACAGAAAAATAATTTTCAGAGATATCTTTTATTTAACTTCACAAAAATGATACAAGTAAAAGTCATAAGGTCGCCAATTCCAGGCCGTTAAGCCGCCAACTTCACGCTGCTAGGTCGTCAGGCCGCTAAGCCGCCAACTTCACATATCTCCATTGCTCATACTTTAAGTCGTCGCTACCATCCACTTCAAGCCACTAGGTCGCCAACATTACGCCGCCAGGTCGCTTCACACTGAGAGGCCACTAGGCCCCAACTTCACGCCCGGCCGTTAAACCGTTAGACCGCAATGCCGCCAACTTCACATATCAAAATGGCGCTGTCATCTAAACAGGTATAAAGTGGATAACTTTATGTAGGGGAAGGAACTGTGAAGGATTTACTATTCAGTTTTGTACGAGTTATCTTACAAGAGAATTTGTTGATTTTTCATGTTGGTTGTGGCCAGCCATTTGGGTACAATTTACAGGAAAGGAGGTACGGTGTCCTGTTTTGTCGCCTGTAGACATAAACATCTCTTTGTCGCCCTTTGAATTTTAAATTATGAAGTCGCGAGAATAAACATTCTCGCAGTGAAACTATAGCGACAGTTAACATTTAATCTGCCTAATATTAATCAAAATACTGTATACCCTCGCTGTTCGCTATCAGTTTCTCTACTTGTAATAGGGTTGGTAAGCGAACAGCATGGATCCTGGTCAGACTGCGCGGATGCGCAGGCTGGTCTGGACCCATGCTGGTCGCGACGCATTATGTTGGTTTTGTCTTGGCGCGGCTCATTTTATTTTTCGATAAGTCGAACGTATGTCAAACATGTTACAAGTTAAATGTTCATGTTGCACATCAAAGACGCCGCCCCCAAATGATTTTGAACCCAGTCACATGTAACTTTTTGAAAATCGTTTCTCTTATTACCCATGTTTGAAATTCCGAAAAGCACTAATTCAATTTTTCATGTTCTTGGGTTTCTTGGACGTGCTGACTTGTTTAATAAATTAAATTCCAAATTTTTTGACCAAAGGAGGCACCTTAATGTTAGCAGTAAATTCACGCAAAAGTAATGCCATGGTCTGGGGAAATTTGAATTGTTTGTCTGTTGAGCCGACAAAAGGATTGGAAAGGTCTTGGTCGGAAACAAAATAAATTGGATAACAAGGGGGTAAAATTTAAATGATTGGGCGGATACTTAAATGGATTCAAGACAAAGACAGAGGGTAAAAAAAAAATTCTTCCTTGCGCAGAGGGAATATGTCCATTTGAAATATTGTTTGGTGCGGGAATTGCATAATGTTCGAAATGATTTTTGAAGGAAACGGAACTGTTCTGTTAAATTTTACAAACCACATGTGCCCAAAAAATATGTCCCTGTAATATTCAAGATAATTAGTTTATGAAAAATTGTTAAAATTAACAATTTCTTATTCGTTATTGGTTTTTCTTTTTTTATAAAAATTAAACTACTTGATTTTAAACACAAGCCTGGGAATCTTTTAGGTATAGGGAACCCTAAATTGTAAATTAAAAAAAATCAAGGCTCAAAATAGAACAAAATCGGTCCCATTCAGAATCCTTCAAAATTTAACCTATTGTAATATTTGTGAGACCATGTTTAAAATTAAACCGTCTTTTTTTTCGCTCATGTTAATTTGTTTTAAAAAACTCAAATGTTAAATTTTATTTTTCCAGTTTAAAACGTTTATTTTAATTCCTTTAAAAACTCCGGTGACATGTTGAACATTCCAGAAAAAGCTATTTTTCTAAATTTTTATTGGGAAAATTTGGAAAAAACAGTGTGATGTTGGGTTAAAACAAAACCAAAAATACACAAAAACAAGTTAAAAAATTTCCCCATTGCTGAATAGGCAAATGTATGTCTACTAGACGCCTATCGAATCATAGGAAGAAAGGTAATTCTTCTTCTGAGGTTGAAAAACCCAATTTTTCATGAAAACTCATAGTGTAAGAAAAGAAAAAGGCATGAAGAAACAGCAAAAAACCAAAGTAATTTTGTCTATCTTGGCAAACATTTTCAAGTTTTTAAAAAGCTGCAATTGTTCCGAGTCCGTGTCTTTTAAACAGTGAACAAGATTTTAAATTGAAAAGTGAGGCAAACCTTTAAAGCGCACGTTGAATTTAAATGTTCGAGTATCAGTTGGTCAAAGTTAATAAATATAAACAGAAGGCAATTCATACACAGATTTCACTTGTTAGAACCTTAAGATATTTTTAAAATACCAAACTTATGGTGTAAAAAGTTGATTGGTAAATGAAATTGAAAAACAGTGTCAAAAGAAAATTCATAAGAAAAGTTTTGATTAACTAATTTGGTAGTTGGAAAGATTAAGGACCATAATAAATATACAATATCTTGGCAAAAGAAAAAGGGAAATCTTTGGGGAAATTCAATGGCCCCCCTATTCTGCAAAAATTAATGGGCTTTTTTTAATCGGGAATAAAGAGGGAAAACACCAAAAAACCCAGTTCGTCAAGGTTTGGGCCATTGGAGGACGAATTGCCTTTTCCAAATTTATGTCCAAAGTTATTTTCTTTTTTGTAAAACTTTAAAAGTGTCCCACTTTCCTTTAATTTTTTAAAAAAAACAGTTTCCCGTGCCCCCCCTGGGCCTGGCATTTTTTCCAAATTTGGGATTTTTTTTCTAAAATTTAAAATAAAATCTGTTTGGGCGAAAAATATGTACGTTGCAGTCAAAAAAGAAATTGTCATGTTAACTTTAGGATCATTTTTCTATATATATTTTTAAAGACAGCTGTAAAATCTGAATAACCGATGGATGTTAGGAACATGTATTTAAAAAGGGTATAAGAAAATAATTTACCAACAGCAAAATTATATTGTTTACATAGTTGTGACATAAAACATTTCTGATATTTATCATACATAAATATTGTACGTAAATACGTAATCAAAATAATTACGTGTTCCGGAACAAAACGTTATGCTCTATTTTAAGTTTTATCCGTTTTTGCACATTATGTCTATATACTACCATATATCTGCCGTACAAATGACAAGTAATCTTAAATTTCCCTTTGACAATATGAAAAACCTAAACAAACAAACAAACAAATAAAATCACAAAATAAATAGTCACAATAAAAATATATCTAAATATATAATCATAGATTTTTAGTCCGAAGATTCATGTTCGCTAGGATATAAAACGCGTTATAAAAAATCTTTGTAAGGGAAGTAACTGACGTAAATTTATTATTAAGTTTGGTTCGAGTTATCTTTCAAAAAATGGTATAATATAAAGATGTTGATTTTAAATGTTAATTATGATCATTCATTTGCGTAAATTTGTAAATGTAAGGGAGAAATTATGCAAATTTACATTTTTATAATATGAATAGGTCTTTATTTTTCTAGTTATTATCATTCTATGAAATATTATCTTTTTCAGCTGTTTTTATCATACTAGACCATATGCTAATTTAGAAATGATTTTATTTTTTAATCTGCATTTATTCAAAATAGGCAAGGATAGAATATTGTTTATAATACATATCGAATGTTATTCAAGGAGATACGGTATCCTGTTTCCGCTACTTACGACACGAGATTTTGATTAAATCAAAATATAATCTCGTGCAGGATAGACTTGCAATCTTGTATGTCTCTTTCAGAAAAACTTCAGCTGTGTTTGCCCGAACTTGAAAGGAAGGGATTCAGACAAAGTCTAAGTATGTCAATAGACGACATAGTATCTGGCCCAAACAGGTTTTACTAATTTTATATACTTAATTTCATGGTAATATGTTATATTATGTTAGTTCTTAAAGGTACACTCATTTTTACTCATATTAATTTCTGTTTCTGTATGCACGAGGTTTATTAAAATTAAATCACCTCATGAATACCTGCAGATACGAGGTATTTTGCCGACACGGCAGGATACCCCGGTCACTTGGGACATTTAACTCAAATAAAATTGCTCAGTGCTAACAAGTTGTTGAGTTTATGTCAGAATACCACGGTATACGGTGACAGATTCATTGTGAGCTACCAGTCAAACTCGGCACGGAAACTATTTGATAACCTCATTATATAGAGAGTATGAATCGCCTTTACGCTCTGACATAATGACGTTTAGCTGACAACCGCGTGTTTTATATTTCAATTGATCATATTTTATTTTTAAGAGTTGCTACACAGACGTTTTTTCCTGCTCGTGAGGGTATTGTTACTGCGCATGCACTAACATTATTGATATCTAAACCGTGAATGATATCTTATCGGTAGATCAATGTATAAGCACTCGTTATTTGCTTAAAATATCGAAACGTCACTGATTAATGATTTAATAAATGTGTGTGTGGTCGAATTTAAATAATACTTTTTTATTTAAATTTCTATATAATTCTGTTTGGATAACAAAAAAGTGGATATAATAATCATAGTCCACTTGACAGTGTAATTAAAGTAATACACGTGTTAGGGAGTTCAAGTGCTGACTTATGTTCCCTGTAGGTTGGTATAAATAGAAAATTTCAAGAGAATTTTCCGGACATAAATCGTACGACGCTTTTATTCAAGATAATCATACGATAAAATCAGTAACGTATCGGGGAAAATAGGAGGGGTCACGTTAAGGTTGATAATTTGTGAATGGAATATTTTTTACTAGATTGCCTTCATTTCTACACGTCTGACATAACGAAATCCACATAACAAAGACAGACGACAAATTCAATGTTATAAATGTTATTTGACCGCGTAAAGGAAAGGCAGTTTTGTTAAAAGTCTGAAGTCACATTTTTCGTCTGCTACTTTGTCTGTATTGATTTCACTTCTGTGTTTTCGTGCTTGGAATAAACTTGGCTTTTAAAGAAGATTTTCTGGAGAAAATTGTACGAAAATGGATTTTCGGTTTAACTCATGTGGATTTTGGCTTTTTCTACAAATGGTAAGTTTAAATTATATTCATTTTACTCCTTGCGTTCGTTTAAATTTACATTGCAAATAATGGTTATCTCTGACCCGACCATGAATGCATGGTTAATGACACATAAACTTTGATATTGTTTCTTACACCTAATAATATATAAAATTTTCATGTTTATCTGTTCGGGTTATTTTTATAATTTTATCAAAGTCGAATCAGCGCCCTGTCGTAACTAAGTTCAAAGAAGAAGAATTACAAAAACATGATTGTTTTCATGATTATGTCAAAAACGATGAATTAAAATAACAAAAGCTTTTTGTTGTTTTAGTGGTAAATAGGAGAAAAACAGCAGGAAATAAAAATTGACATTTTATCATAGGTTAATGGATAAATTGAAACATGTAGTTAGAGAGATAAAAACATGACAATTGTGTGAGGAAACACTGTCACTTTAGAAAAAATTGATTCGACAGATATAAATCAATTGGACAATAGCTTCAAATGTTTTCAATTTGCTTAAGTTTTTAATTCTACAATATAAAAGCAATAAAATTATATTAAGTTAAAGGGAACTGACAAATATTGTGAAATTCATGACTTAGTTGTAAATGTAGTTTGTAAATGAAGGTTGAAACATAATCCCTGGTGTCGTTTAAGAGATTGCTCGTGTTTTTGTATTTGTTTTTGTATCGTCTCCTTTTTTCTTATAAAAATGACAAAAGGCAAAAAGCAATTTGATTGAAGGTGGGTTTATAAAAGAGAACAATACTATGACTATAAGAACATTAAGATATAGTCTTTTCTTTTTTTACGTTTAACAGCTTTTATATATACATGTATAAAAAGCAAAACCTATAGGTGTATATGTAGAGATGTCCCTTTAAAGTTGTTACATGATAAACCGACGTGACACGTTGTATTTAAATGCTCGTTAAAGTCTCGTCTAAAGGAAATATTAAAAAGTTAGAACACTTGTTCAAACAAAAGTGTTTTTCATATACGTGTATAAAATTAGACTAAAGTGACAGTTAAGACACATTTTTAGAAATATGTGAACAACGTCTCTGGCATTTTCTGAGTGAGCTTAATTGTAAAAACTTTTGACAGAAAATGCATAGCAGTCCTTAAACACTTATTTTATGTGATGGTTAAATTTTTCTCCACATTTCATCTGCATATTCAAAGTCAACATATTTCTAAAATTGCTTTTTTTCCTCATCATAAATGATAATTTTGAAACTGTTGTCTGGGAGTAATTTGGTGTGAGACTCTCACTCGAAATTCACGTAAAATGACGAAACTCTCTATAAGCTGGTATTATATAAGCTGACTATATATAAGAGAGATATATTACATTACAACGTGAGAAAATATCGTTTAGATAATGCTACATTAAATTACTGCACTTTTCAAACCATTATAGCTTCTGAATTTTCACTTGCAAAGGAACGTTAAGCCCACGTTGAATTATTAATATTTATTATCGAACAACCGAAAGGCATCGAAATACTCGACATGATGAGTCATTTGCTCAGAATAAAATGTCTAACAAAGCAAAAACGAGTTCATGGCCTGAATGGTTATTTTTTTTTAACCTTAAACTTACTGGAACCAAAAATGACCGGCTTATGCGATCAGTTTACATCAAGACCTTTCAGTCTGATCAGGGTTTGTTTTGTTGCTAGCTCAATCTGGTAATTTGATATTAAATCCCCTTTATTGTTTACATGAAAGTAACTTCAAAAAAAGTTGGAAACAGTTTAGGAGAAGTGATTCCTATGTAAGGAAATCCCTTCGATATAATAAAATATATTCAAGAAATTTTTAAAAACCCGCTATTTTAAGCATTTGCCCCCGTGCACCTTGTCAAAAAAGTCACGTGGGATCGCAACCCTGAGCTGAGATACCAATTTGAATTAAGTATATCAGTCCAATTATATGATAAACGCAAATATATCACATATCATGATATAAAATGTGTATTGCAAGTTTCACTACTATTTTCACATAGATTTCAATGACATCCGATACTAAGAAATGAACAAAGATCAAACTTATGTTAACACTGTCTCACGACTTCTGGAAATTTGATAAGTGTCGGAACACTAATTAAAACAGTGGCAAAGTTTAATTTAATTGTAACGTTCATCAGTTATGACACTATCTCGTATTATCTTCGGGATAAGATTGCTGTGATATAAATGATGTAACCGAATAAACCACGTTCTTTATACTCTCGTCAATTATGCACCAATCATTTCTAACCTCTCTTCTCATACCCGACCCTCATCCCTCTTGAGAAATGTAAGAGAAGCGAGCAGTGTTTTACTTTCCAACCATACAACCACTGCGGCGTGACTGTGGTGTGACTGTGGTGTGACTGTGGTGTGACTGGTGTGACTGTGGTCATTTTCTTTTCTCACCCTTAACCTTAATATATTTTTTAATTAAGAATTGTCCATGATCAAGTTTTGGTTTATAATATAAGACCTTGAAGGTAGTCAGGCAGTGACTAGTACTTTAAAGGTACAGTATGCCTCAGTAACGAATATTAAAATCTTAACTTCTAACTCCATGTTTATTACGTTTGTTAAGAGCATGTTAGATGCTTGTTTACTGAAAAAGTAGCAGCGCTTGATGTGAAATAATTTGTCATAGAAGTAGCAAATGTAAACAAAGTAGTTTTTTTTAATCCATACAAAATACTAAATCATTATAACTGAACTTATTGCCAAAACACAAAAGAAGAGATGTTTCATGTGTTTGGTCAATGAGTTTTTGGGGGCTTTTTTGGAAACTATAAAAGAACACAAAAATTTAAAAAAAACTTTTGAGAAATTAAAATAAAAGCATTTCTCGGACATAATGGGTCTTTTAAGTAGAGTGCATGTAACGTACAGGAAACGCACATACTCGTCATCACCGCGTGAATTATCATGATGACAGCGCGTTCCAATCTCTTTTCTTTGTCGTCTGCAGCGCGTGTTACCATTTTCCTTTCAATGATTACCAAGTTATAGTGGGACTTAAATTTCGTTGCCCTGACTATCATTAACCGTAGAAACGTTTACACAAAAAGTAAGATTTTGGGAACTTTTTTTTTTCAGCTATTACTTTTTCATAGACTGACACTGTTGCCAGTGCAAATTGTGCCATCTTTATGTTGTAACGGTACAACATATAATAGAAGAGTCACATTTTCATACATATACAATGTATGTCAGTCGTGTTGTTTCGTTTTCAGAATGATCACAGAAAAAAGTTAATACCCCGCAGATATTACAGGGAATACGGGTGACAGGGATGGTGGTTGGACGGGACGTGTAGTCACAACAACCACGTAATGATAGTTATCAACGTTTACATCAAACTATGATACCGTATTAACCCTTAGGAATATAGTGACCGGGTCAAGAAAAATACTTAAAATAATTTCATTTGTAAATATTGTACGGTCAAATATTTTAATGCTTAAACACAAAAGAATTAATGCGTTTGGTCGTATTAAAGAACGTAAAACAAAAGAATTTTATAGGAGTTACCCTTTGATAAATAATAAATACCTTAAAAGATTAACTCAGATTAACACATTTTATTCAGCGGACCCGTTGCCCGTTGTAGATTGGACACAATAAGGTCAAATAAATAAATATTAGAGACTATCATTATTCATTGCAAATATGTAATTGGGCTTTTTACAAAAGATTATGATTTACCTTATTAACAAATTATGATACTGATTGTTAAACATGATGTGCTTAGCCTTAAATTGCATGATAAGTTGTTGACCAAAATATCTACAACGACTCACTTACTGCCTTATATAGTTTATATCAAACATTTTATATACTTTTCATACACTATAAATTTTATAATACTCAATAGAATCAGATATTGTGTTAGAACACATGGAACACATCAATTACATATACTTGTGTTCATTATATCAAACGCTATTTTGTTCAGTCTCTTTTGAAAAAAGGACGAATTTATGATCTTAAAGATATTGTAACATTTTCAAACAGATATTATAGGTAAGGTTAGGGTTTAGGAAAGCAGTTGTATATATAGAAGTGGAAGCAAATGTTTTTGGTAATACATGTAATGTATGCACGATCTAGAGAGTGCATTCTTAATGAAGCATACAATGCCGTTTTCAAATAAAAGATTAAACAACGTTGAAACAGACATGGCGGAGGAGCTTCTGGTTTGGATTTTTAAATTGAATTAGGGGCCATTTATACAATAACAACATTATCATGGGGTAAAATAAAAACACCTGAATAACGTACTTACATAGACTAACCCTTATCCTAAATTATTTTTAAGGAACTGTCCATTAGCAATTTTAGGGGTAATCAAGTTTGTTTGTTTGTTTCATTTTACGCATTTTTCCAACAGTATTTCAGTAGGGTAATCAAGATAAATCTTTAAGTTAGACAGTAAATAGTATAGAGCTGGTCAGACTGTACGGATGTGCAGGATTGCATGGCTCTACATGTATGCTGGTGGCACATATATCACTTCCGGTTCGCTAAATATGATGATATTTACTCTATTTTTTTAGTGTTTCAGTTTTGAAATGGATCTTTGAATCCAGTCTACGCACTAAAATGTTTTTAAGTTGACCATCGAGTAAAAATAAAAGATTTCCTACTTTCCTATCGGTTTAAAATAATTGTTATCGTTAATAAGATTATTTTCATAAACGAGAAGATAACTCCTGCTTACTATTTCAATTACGAAGATAACTCTTGATCTTCATTCAATTAAAGAAAGGTTACTATTTAAGATAACTCTTGATAATTCGTTAAAATGCGAAAGAAAGCCCTTGATCATGATTTCATTATTGAATACCTTACTATCTACGATTATTTCAATAAAGAAAAGATAACTCTTGATTGTAATTTTATTTACCGTAACGAAACGAGCCGTGCCACGACAAAACCAACATAATGGGTTTGCGACCAGCATGGATCCAGACCAGCCTGCGCATCTGCGCAGTCTGATCAGGATCCATG